TTCCTTAATATGTCATCAAATCAATGAGATACATATTTTCCTCTTTGGTTCAAGGCTTATGCGATTTTCTAATTTATATTTATTCTTCATTATATCACTAGCAGAAAGATATGCTTGTTTTTTTATGCAGCTCAGTTTGATGGGACTCTCAAAAATATTAGAGTTCAACAGTGCTCTATTGGGGGCGCCTGATCACAGGTTTTCATAGTTTTACTGTTCCTTTTTTTCATTCCCTTGTAGTTCTCTTGCGTATTATTTTCTGTACAATGAAGCCACTTAAATTATTGTGAAGGGGAGTGAGAACTTGTCTCTAATGGAGCTTGAGATATCAAAACTCTGAAGGTTGGTTCTCATTACCATTCTATCTGTTTTGCTGAAGTTGACATTGCTTTGTTGCTAAAATGCTGAAAATTTGAAATAATGACTGCTTGAAATTACGTTTCCAGGTTAGCATGCTTAACCTTTAATCTTATATGTAATTTGCTTTCCTAAACCTATTTCTTTTATGTGCACCCTGATGAGTCTAGGTTACATCTTTTTCCTTTTCTTTTTTTTTGTTGGTCTGGCAATGCATGAGGATAATCCTTCCGATCCCACAACTTCCTGAATTGTGGTTCTTGCTAATTGAGCTTGTTGGCGCCTTATGTCTAATGATTTTCTATCTCAATTGAAATAAAAAATTATTTTTTTGAACTTTTTTAATCCTGTTAATGCTTCAATTTTCAGTGTCTTAAGTGTTGGTATCCTTCTAGAATTATTTGACTGTAAATGGTCAAAGCTTGAAAAACTTCGATCAAAGTTGGTGCTCAGATAGTCTTCCTAAGGACCAACAGCACATTTATCAGAGAGACACCAAATGGTCCTCAAATTAAAATGACGGATGGATGGATTGCATACCTGCATATATTTTGTGCTGGGCTTGTCTTCCCTACAAACAATACCTCGCAATCAATTCATTTTTACCTGATCTTGCAGATTCTTGGTGCATTTTCAAATTGTGTTTTATCTCCAAATAAAGAATCTACAGTTGTCCTATTCTTCCCAGTTACTGAAGTAAGCATTCTCTTCACTGTAAACATGCTTGGATGATAGTGGTGATCATGCATCAGCCCCTCTTGCTAGCTTTCTCCTCGGTAGTCTGTACATGTTTAGATACTTGCATTTACCTTGCTCTGTCTTCTTCTTTTGGCAACTGTTTTGGAGGTGATCCTGCATAATGACAGCACAATTGGAAAATTGTTATTTGTAACATTCCTGTAGCATCCGAATGTTGAAATGAAGAAAAATTACCAAAATGGCTGGCTCTATTGATTTATAAGCAGGCAAAACTGTGTTTTGGAGTTTAGTGATCAAATTTATGTTCTACATTTCACCCTTTTTTATCATTAGTTATGTTTCCTCTATTTAACATAGGTGATGATCAACTTGTCAAAAAAGTTAAAAAGTTTGACAAAGCCATGCAGTGAACATTCTGTCAAGCATGATAATGTTTCTCTTCAGGACAAAATATTTTCTGTCTACAGAGATGGCTAGCTGGGGAATAACTTGATAGGATGAACATTCTTCTCCTTTCTTGACTTTGAGACAGATGGAGGATGTCATACAAAGTTAGAACGAGAAAGGAGAGAATCCCATTCTTAAATCTTCTCAATCTCACTGTGTGTATAATGAAAATTTAATCTATTCTGTCTTTTCATGTTTAAATCTTCTCATTGCCACTGTCAGATACAAAGGTCATGTAACTTGATAGGATGAACATTCTTTTCCTTTCTTGATTTAATGTAATGAGTTCTCATTGTTGATAGGCTTAGCTAGATTTTAATTCTGTTCGCATTCTATGGTTCAATCTATCTTTTTGTGATATATATCCTGGTTGTCAATTGTTATTATCTCATATCCCAGGTCTACAGAAGAACTGTTGCAAGAATATAAAGAATACACTTGCAAGGTTAGCATGCTTTATTTGGAGTTTGTAATTTTCATTAATGCAGACATGCAGTCCTTTCTAAACGGCGGTTATCTATCCTTGAGAGTTTATATGCAATCTCAGCCAATTCTTCATTTTCATTTCCGAAGTTTAGTTAATCAATTCCTGCTTTTCTTTTAAGTGTTAGACAATCTCCCATGTGTTTTGACTTTTGAATAACTCCTCATCGTTTGATGTTTGCTATAATTTCCATCCTTTTTTTTCCCAGTACCAGTCATTCAAAATGGATTGCTGCCTTACCAATACTGATGCCCACATAACCGGTGGATCTGAGAATGGTTCAATTTTTTTCTGGGATTTCGTTGATGCATCTGTGGTATCTAAATTCCGAGTTCATGTGTCACTGGTAAAGTGTCCCCCCTTTAATTTCTGCAACAAGAGCATTTTAGATTGTGCTGAATTTTCTGGATAAGTTCCATTTATGCTTGCCAATATTTTTTAAAAGGATTATGGCTTTCTGCCTTTTTTTTTACTCAACTTTTGTCTTCGAAATTTTGGTAATTCTGTTCAAATTTCTGTTATTACAAACAGGTGCTTCCAACATGTTGTCAATGTTATGCTTAAATGTATTTGGTTAGACAAAGTACTGTTACAAAGTTGAGTGGTCAATAAACATTGAGTTTCTTCATATGGTCTACAATATGTTGTAAGGTTTTAAAAGTACAACTTTTACAAGCTCTTAGTTCTAAATTGTCTGGTGCACGTTATAACTGGTTATGCATTAATCAAGCACTTGTTAGTTATCATGCTTTGACACTAGAGGTGTTATTATATATGTTAGATTGAAATTACTCAATTTAGTTTCTTCATATGCCTATGAGTGGTCGCTGCTTTTCTTTTACCATCAAGCATTGTTTTAGTTGCCTATCCATGATAAAAATGTTGGGAAAAATAACTCAGAGAAGAAAAGTGCTCGTTATACACATTATTAGGCCATTCAAATCATTTATTGTGCCCCGGGGGGAGGGGGGTGGGTTCTTACTTGCCATACCTTACATTGTTGAGTATAGTAGTTGATGATCTATAAGGAGAATTAATGCATCTTAAGTCAGCTGAATTCAATAGACTCATCTTGAGCTGTATGTTTCTTAGCATACTTGCTTCTTTTCTGCTTTCTATGCAGTTGTGCTGAATGTAGATATTCGTTTTCTGTCCAACATTTTTATCCTCCTTTTTTGCAAAATCTCTTGACTTTCAAGTTACCATTCTTATTTTTGTCATATTACCTCGTGAACCCCTTGCACCAATCCCAATTCCTTTGCTCAAGCAAAGTTTTAGGAATCTTATGATTTCTTTATATTCAGGAAGCCGCCTATTAAGCCCCTTTCTTCCAAGTTAATGATGTGTCTGTAAAACTGATCTTCTTGTGTTGATCACTTTTGGTTATTAACCTTTA